ACACGATAGCTCATCCTCAGATTGTGGGTAGACATCTTCCATGTTGTCTGTATCCATAAGATATGGTAAACTTTGAGAAATAAAAGTGAGAGAACAGGATCATAGAACACCATGGCTGCACCTTGGTCACATAACACATTGATTACACGCAGTGCATGTAATATTAGACGCAGCTTAGATCAAGAGGGGCCAAACAAAACAGAAAGGCAGGAGAGATGCTGCCCACCACTGATCTCTAGTGCGGCACACATTCTAAACCAGATTGTGTGCTTCCAGATTCACCCAGCTGAACTTCCATGAAAACAGTGAAACAAAATGTGTGCTCTGTGCTTACATTTTGGGGGCTTCTTCGTAAGTCAGATTACGGCAGCACTACATTGCACTCATGTTACTATTTTACGGTGATAATATATTTTAGGCTAATTGTATCATAGACCAAAAACTACATATAGCTGTGAACAGCTTTGGTTGCTTCCCAAAAAAGAAAGAGAGTGAGAGAAAAAACACAGTATTTCTATTGAATATTGAGTCCATTTTAAAGAACATAAAATAGAAGATTTAAAATATGGTTGAACCAGATTGATTTCTTTGAAGAGCATGAATCATATTGAAGTGCGTAAATGTCAGCCTTTACATAATTCATATTCATACTGCATAAATATTAGTCTAAGACCACAATAAATATTTAGTTTCAATGGACACATCCACAAAAGTGTGATAGAAAGCACAATTTTTCTTGTTGGTATGGCTTGTAAATTTTACAGGCTAGTCATTTGTGGAAGATAATATGTAAACTATTTTTACTGTGGCTTATAATCCAATGTGTATTAAATGCCTCCTATAGTCTATATTTTATTCTATACTCTAGAGATAGCATCAACCAAAACAGATCATGACTGCTCTCATAGAAATTTTATTCTGGTCAGTAAGACCTCTCCAATTAGATAACAAAAATACCAATAGATTCTCTGTTGGACAATCGTAAGTGCAATGAAGGGAAGCAAAGGGAGGTAAAAGAACAGGAACGAACAGCGGAGCTGTGCTATTTTAGATCAGGATTATTTTATTTATTTTATTGAGAGAGAAATAGCAATGAGACAGTTTCAAAACAGGTTAGTAGGACAGTAACAATAGTTAATGCATTGCATTGTTGTCTTTGTAGTAATTAATAGTACAAGATGCAGACATGATATCCTGTCTAAACACTATTAGTTCAAAACTTGCTTCTCATTCAACTAAGAGAAAGTAGCTGTATATCTATGCTAACTATTATA